TAATTATTGTAATTTCGATTATTAATATTAAGCATCTATTATAGATAAATTTATGCTTCACAGTAGGGACGTTTTTAAATATAATGGTATGTATTCCTACACATATATACCAAATTAATACTCAGATTGATATAGAATACTTCGATTACACGGTACATTGGATTCCTATCTACTGATACAGTGAATGTAAGTCAATATTAAACAATCAATCCAATTTAGTTAGAAATAAAATCATAAGAGTAGATTAAACATTTTTTAAGTAATTATGTTCTCTTGTTTGCGAGGCAATGACGATGTAGTATTTATATCATTACCAACTTTATCATAGGTTGCCAACTTCCATATCGAGAATCAAACATTTGCAGAAGTGGTAGACGTATCAAACGTAAATAATTTTACTTCGCATATAAATATATTTGATAACCGAAGATTTGATGGTATCTTAGGCCTAATACCTTCCAATTTATATGATGATGCAGTAACGCCTGTCTTTGGTAACATGATTCAACAAGGACTATCATCACGCCATTTTCAGTTTTTATCTAAACAGGTAAATATCTTCTTTACTTATGAACAACTTATATCTATAGAAAAGAATATTTAATAAACATGGAGTTCTATTTGTATGTAAATGGTAAACTTTATTGTTCCCCTTGGGATTACAATCTTCAACATACAATTACATAACTCTACCTAACATAACCATATCTCTCACGCAATTGCCGCCGCCTTTAACATATCACAACTAACACCCATATCTACTAACGGCATCGCCGTTTTTTTCCTACTCCTTTTTCCACACTACATTCTTCTTTCTTTTTCTCCTCTTCTCCATCTCCTTCCTCCTCTCTCCTTCCCTTCTCGCTCTATCTCCCTTTCTCTTTTTTCCTTCTCACTTTCTTCTTCCTCTCTTCAAATTTCCTCCATATGTCCTCTCCATCGTTCTCTCGATCTCTTTTCTTAAAAACTTCTTTTTCCTTCTCCTCTCTTTTCTTCTCTCCCCCGCCTTCCCCCTCCTCCTTTCTTCTTTCACTTCTCTTTCCCTTTCTTTCCACGTTCCCGTCTCCTCTATTCTCTCTTCCTCTTTTTCTCCGGCTGGTCCTCCTTTATACCGTCTATCGCCTCCATCCACTTCTACTATCCTTACTTTCTCACTGGGACCTGTGTGGACCCGAATCCGCGCCACGCTTAATCTTCACTTCGGCGAGTTTCAGTGACGCAGCGTGCAGGATCACACAGGCTCCCCTATTTGTATGTATATTTATATTTTATTTTATACTTATTTTAAAATTAATATAAATTAAATTATTATTTATACATAGTATCATAATTTCTATATAGTATTATTTTTTATATTAAAGTAATATTTATATTTACACATTAAATATAATTTATAATTTATCTTAATTATCACATACATACATATTGCGATATAAAAAATACAATTTGCAGAAGACCCTAACTCAGCAATTTAGGTGGGTAAATTGACATTCGGTGGTTTCCGATCCTGCTTATTACGAAGGGAATTTTACATATGTTCCTGTTAGTATCAAAGGAGTGTGGGAAATTACCATAGATAGGTACGTTATACTTTAAATTATATTAATCATGTTTCAACAAATTGTTTACGTTACGCTTTGTAGTATCGAAATAAATATGGTTACTTGGTGCAAGAGATACTGCCAAGCTATCATTGATACAAGTATTTGGAGAATAATTGGACCAGAAAAGGATATTTCATTTATTAATCGATTTATTAGAACTAGTAAACGGGGAAGAGTAAGTAATATCTTTCAAGTAGTCATATCTTTCAAGCACGTAGCCTTCGATAACAAAAATAATTAAAAGTTGATAATAACGATACAAAAATAAATATTAGGTACGTTCCAGTAAAATATAAACTTCTATGGAACACTGACATTAGTCCTTGTTTCCGAAATACTTAATATATTCATTATATATGATTAATTATTAACTTGATATTATGTTTCATTCAAAGGTGAATTGCAATAGAATTTCCAAATTGCCTACAATCAAGTTTAATTTGGGTGGTGAGGCCTTCAATCTTACCGGTAAAGATTACACCATTCGGGTGAGTGTTATAAGAAAATTATTTAAATTATTTAAATAAGTATAAGAGAAGTTTATATTGTGTATTTAATTTTGCTCAGGATCCAGATAATGAAAGTAAATGTTTAACCGTCTTCTGGAAACACGACCCAACATATGACAGCAAAGAAAAATGGATTCTGGGCATGCCATTTATGGGGCGCTACTACACCGAGTTTGATATGGAGAGAGACCGGAGTGGGATTTGCTTTGGTCGAAAAACGTATAGAATTCATCAAAATGTATAGAAAATTTTTCATTGCCATTTTCATTACCTTTTATTGTATACTTTATCATCAATTTTTAAATAATTTTGCTTAGTTTTCAATAGCAAAAAAAAATTTAATCATTTTTAATCGCCAACTGACAAAGTTTAAATATTATCAATGTAAATTTTTGCCGTAATACGTGCATAATTGTGTCCTAATTTTTAACAGCAATACTTTATCTTGAAAGTGGCTGACATGAGCTTATTGCTAATTAGAATGTGCGAATTTTTGGGAACAGTGTCATCTGCTAAGTCCATTGTTGCATGGCCGTCTAGTCGATATAATCAATTTACTTTTTCGAAATGATTATTTTTTTTCCATTATTATTCTTAATCACGCGCACGTTTAATAATTTATTTTAATACAATTTGGTTTAATTATGAAAAAAAATATTTAAATAATATATTTTTAAGTTTGATTGATCGATAGGATGGATCGATAACATGGATATGTTTCGAATGCGCGCGATTGTATATATAATAGTCACCAAATGTCGATAAATGGCTCTAGTAGCCGAGTACAATTTCTTCTTTTTATGTTGCAACGTACAGAAAGAAATTTACCAGAAATTTCAAAAATATGATTCGTTTTTTCGTAGCAGTGGTGCTGATTCACGCGGAAATCCAAAGTCAAGTTAATGCATTGTATCGTGTGTTTACATTACGTATCGGTATAATAAATGTTGATTTTTTCTAAAATCAATCTATCTTGTCGTGATCACATTCGATTTTCTGAAATCCAAAACCTATGTAAATGTGATTACATTCATAAAACGTTGATAAATCCTAAATAAAAGGTTATTCAATGCCGATGAGCAATAAAAGTTTTTAATTTTATGACAATGTTATAAAAATCATTTTCTCCTTGCTCGATTTAATAAGAATTAAAAATGAAAGGTTATCATTGAATCTAATAAAATTAATCTTGAAGCTCTCCCGTAAATAAAGTATTTTTTATGGACCCAGAATTGCAAAAGTTTTCCCATTTCACTCCTTACATCTTCGTACGTGAACAAGAATTAATATGCTTCCATTCAGTAAGAGAACAACTTGTCGTCACCGCTTTAAGATAATCTCGCTGCGATTTAAAATATTTCCGATCCGCATCAAATCATCGACTTATCGACTTGATTTTATCTGTATTATGCATTCCGTCATGTGACCTTAAATGCATAAAGCGGCCTTTTCATTGATGCTACTTTTTAGCGTCAATGAAATTGCACCTTAACGATGTTGTTTACACGGCAAGTGCGTTTTCCTGATTACAATTTACTATATCCTATTAATCCCTAGATATTGCGGAGATAAAAGTGCGATAATATGTTTCGCTGTCATAATTAAAAATAATATCTCGGTGTCTTCTTTTAATTCAAATTCTTGCATAAATCGATTGCGTGAAAAGTTTAGAGAAAAATCTGACATTTTCTTTGTTCTTGGTTAATAAATGCCACGAAAATTTCGCAATTAATGCAATTAGCACGCGATTCAGTAGCGCCTTTCGATTTTTTTGAATAAAATAAGCTTTGTTAAAGAGTTCCTAAGAACTGATTTCATATTCGGATATCATGACTTTTCATACTATGGTTGAATATTAATAGCGTGAAAAATTAATTATTATCGACCGATTATTATTTTCTATATTTGTCTGAAATAATTTGATTATAAATTGAATATAAATATTGCACTATTAGGCTATTATTATTCATGAATTTTAATCGTAATATATGTAATATATATTTATGTATACATACTAAATGTTTGAATAATACCAATATTCGGTCACTATCAACTTTTTTAAATCAGGATGAACTTGATAAAGAGAAATAATGAAAACGTATTAAAATTTTTTTATCTTATAACATGTTTATTTTATTATAAGTTTATTTTTATAATGTAATTGAAATTATGATTATAATGACGTTTCTCATTATTGCAATATTATTTCGATTTATTAATCACTTACTTTTAATAAAATTTTTAATAAAAGAACACGTTTCCTTATTGGAGATGTATTATTTCCTTCACAAAATTTGATTGCATTTTCCTAAAATTTGCATAATATAGAAAAGAAATGTATATATAGTATAGATTTTTAGTTTTGTATATTATCTTGAATTAAAATATTCATATTAACATTATCCGAAATTTAACATAACAAACTGTTCACAGCAAAATTTCTGAAATTAATGATTATTCAAATATATATTTCAAGATTATGTATATTTTCATGTCTCTTTAGAAATCTTAAGTATTCATCAAATAAAGTGTGGTGTATAATTGTATAAATATAATTTTACACAAAATTACATAAAAAAATGTTGATAAATTTTACAAATTATTTATTGTAAAGTTAATGTTGCATAATTGTCTGTTTGATATTAACAATATATTCTTTAGAAATAATTATTTTTATTATCAAACATGAATTTATGTAAATAAATGTTTTTCATTAAAAATACACGTTCATGCAAAATATAGTATATTTAAATTAAATTGATCGAAATGGAAATTTATCAGGATTTTTCGAATGTTTCGCGCTTTCTCTACCTGTTCAAGCATTCAACAGAGGGACACGCGTGATCATATATGTATACATAACGCTATCGAATACCAGTACAGTGCTAAGGAAGAGTTAGTAAACGACAACACTTTATTTTTCTGCGTGTCAGGTCATAAAGTGTCGAAAGAAAGTTGTCATTGAAATTTTCACAAATCGAGACATCACCAATAAATAAATTCTGAAATATGTTTCGCCTTTTTGTGATAATGACGATGCTCTTTATGACGATTGACGCGCGATTAAACAGGTCAGTACATATTATATTATATTGCATATTGGCATAAATATCGAACTTAGAAAGATTTTTTTCTCGTTTCCGACTTCTTGGATTAAATGCGTGGCTTGTACAAATGCAAATAATGCTTCAATACAAATTGGATGAAATGATTTCTTTGAGCAAAACGTATATTTTGATTTATTAATTAAAGAGTAAATAAAATAAGAATAGTTTTGAAAAAGTGACTCGTTGTTCTTTCGTAACGTTCGCTTTTGTCCATCTTTCTCCCTATTTATCCCTATTTAAACAACGACCGTTAACATAAATATCGTGCTTGGAGGTCATCAAAACATGTAATTGTAAACTATTTTTTTACGCGTTAACTGTAGGTATAATGAGTTGCTTTATATTATTTGTTTAACTTATATTTTCAGTTTCCTATTTTTAATACCCTTTTTTTTGATTACTTGTTTCTAAATTACTTCTGTATGTAAAATCACATGCAAAATTAATTAAAATTCAATGTCTATTAAAATGATTTTATTTAAAACTGGGTTGTACAAATTAATAATTTCTTTTGATATATTTATATATATATATATATATATATATATATATATATATGAGTTCATACAATTTAGAAAGATCATCGAGTAATAAACATTTCTGAAATATTTATATTTAAATGCCTAATGTATTTGTATTGCAAGTATATAAGTTATACATTTAATTTCTGAGAATGTGTAGACTTTCATTACTACATTTGGTCTGAAAATATCTATTAGTCATATTAAACGTAAATATTCATTTTACATATATATTTACAATACATACATATATCATAGAATGTTGTTTATGTTATTTCAAGGACTTCCTTGCACGAGATGGATGGAGAATCTTCGAAAAAAGTTGGCACCATCTTGCAAAAAGTTCCTTTGTTAGATAGTAATCTTCCTTCAGTACATTTGAAAAATTTCGGAAACATACATTACTATGGCAACATTGAAATTGGGAAACCAGCTCAAGAATTTAGAGTTGCATTTAGTACTGATTCCGCATATTCTTGGATATTTTCCAAAAATTGTACACTCTCTTTTTGTTGTAAGTAATTTGTTTGTATGTATATATATATATATATATATATATATATATATATACTTATTTTCCATCAACAATTATATTTCTCAAATATAATCTTCGGATATTGTCAAAAGTTGAATACATAATATAGATATATATTTACTTAATTTTATAGTAATTTTTAATAAAATGTATTAATTATTAAATAATTTATCAGCTTTATTCTCCAAAGATACAAGAATTAATAAACAAAAATAATTTATGAATTAATGCGAGAAATACATTTACATGTATAAAATATGGCATTATTTGTAAAAGAATATTGCATAAGTGATATAGATTAATAAGACAATATCTCAAAATATATATTTTTAATATCTTTCTAATATTGCTAATTTTCGATATTACTGAATATGTTTCAGTACGACCTTATAGATATAATAGTAACAATTCCTACACATATATATCACGTAAAACTAACATTAATTTAAAATACTTGGATTACAAAGTACATGGTTTTCTATCTACTGATACAGTGAATGTAAGTCATTATTAAGCAATCAATCCAGTTTAGTTAGAAATAAAATCATACGAGTAGTTTAAACATTTCTTAAGCAATCATGTTTTTTTTTCTTGCGCGGCAACGACGATGTATGTATTATTTCTATACCGATTTTATCGTAGGTTGCCAAACTCAGTGTGGCGAATCAAACATTTGTAGAAGTGATAAACGCATCAAACATAAATATAATATTTAATTCATATGTAACTATACTTGATACACACAGATTTGATGGTATGGTAGGCCTGATACCATCCAATTTATATGGTGATGCAGCATCGATGACGCCTATTTTGGACAACATGATTCAACAAGGTCTAGTGTCATCACGCATTTTTAGTTTTTATTTAAATAGGTACATATCTTCTCTACTTATGAACAACATATATCTATAGAAAAGAGTATTTAATTAACATGTGTGCAAATCTATATGTATATATATTTATACTTATTATATACTTATTTTAATATTAATATAAATTAAATTTATTATTTATACATAGTATCATAATTTCTATAGTAATATTTTTTATATTAAAAGTATTATTTTTTATATTAAAGTAATATTTATATTTACACATTAAATATAATTTATAATTTATCTTAATAATCACACACATACATGTTGCGGTATAAAAAATACAATTTGCAGAAAAGCTAACTCAGCTAATTTAGGTGGTAAATTGACATTCGGTGATTCCGATCCTGCTTATTACGAAGGGAATTTTACATATGTTCCTGTTAGTGTTAAAGGAATGTGGGATATTACTATAGATAGGTACGTTATACTTTAAATTATATTAATCATATTTCAACAAATTGTTTACGTTACGCTTTGTAGTATCGAAATAAATGAGATTACTTGGTGCGAGAGATTCTGCCTAGCTACCATTGATACAAGTATTTGGAGAATAATTGGACCAGAAAAGGATATTTCACTTATAAATCAATTTATTAAAATTAATCCACGGGGAAGAGTAAGTAATATCTTTCAAGTAGTCATATCTTTCAAGCACGTAGCCTTCGATAACAAAAATAATAAAAAGTTGATAATAACAATACAAAAATAAATATTAGGTACGTTCCAGTAAAACATAAACTTTTGTGGAACAATGACATTAGTCCTTGTTTCCGAAATACTTAATATATTCATTAAATATGATTAATTATTAAATTGATATTTTATTTAAAGGTGGACTGCAATAGAATTTCTCAATTGCCTACAATCAAGTTTAATTTGGGTGGCAAGGCCTTCAATCTTACCGGTAAAGATTACATCATTCGGGTAAGTGATATAAGAAAATTATTTAAATTATCTAAATAAATATAAGAAAAGGTTATATTGTGTATTTAATTCTGCTCAGGATCCATATAATGAAAATGTATGTGTAAGCGTCTTCTGGAAACACAAGTATCCAACATATAACGGTAAAATTAAATTAATGAAGACATGGGTTCTGGGTATGCCATTTATAGGCCGCTACTACACCGAGTTTGACATGGACAAAGAACGAGTGGGATTTGCTTTAGCAAAAAATGTGTAGAATTCATCAAAACCTATAGAAAATTTTTCATTGCCTTCTTTTATTGAACACTTTATCAGTTTTCAATAATTTGCTCAATTTTCTCCAGCAAAAGAAATTTAATTATTTTTAATCACCAACTGATAAAGTTTGCGTATTATCAATGTAAATTTTTGCGTAATATATACATAGTTGTGCGTTAATTTTTAACAGCAATACTTTATTTTGAAAGTAACATGCTTATTGCTAATTAAAAAGTGCGAATTTTTGGAAACAGTGTCATTTGCTAAGTCCCTTGTTGCATAGCCGTCTAGTCGATTTAATCAGTTTATATTTTCGAAATGATGAATTCTCCTTCATTATCATTCTTAATAACGCACGTTTAATAATTTATTTTAATACAATTTGGTTCAATTATAAAACAAAATATTTAAATAATATATTTTTAAATTTGACTGATCGATAGGACGGATCGATAACATGGATTTGTTTCGAATGCGCGCGATTGTATATATAACAGTCATCAAATGTCGATAAATGATGGCTCTAGTAGTCGAATACAATTTCTTCTTTATATGTTGCAATGTACAAAATGAAATTTACCAGAAATTTTGGAAATATGTTCCGTTTTTTCGTAGCAGCAGTATTGCTGATCGACGCGAAAATCCAAAGTTAAGTTTATGCATTGTATCATGTGTTTGCGTTACGTATCGATATAATAAATGCTGATTTTATAAAATCAATCTCTCTCGTCGTGATCACATTCGATTTTCTGGAAATCCAAAACCTATGTAAATGTGATTACATTCATAAAATGCTGATAAATCCTAAATAGAAATTTATTCAATGCGATAATCAATAAAAGTTTTTAATTTTTTATGAGAATGTGTGTGTTATAAAAATCATTTTCTCCTTACTCGATTTAATAAGAATTAAAAATAAGAGGTTACCATTGAGTCTAATAAAATTAATCTTGAAGCTCTCTGTAAAATTAATCTTGAAGCTCTCTGTAAATAAAGTATTTTTATGGACCCAGAATTGCAAAAGTTTTCCCATTTTACTCCTTACATCTTCGTACGTGAACAAAAATTAATATGCTTCTGTTCAGTAAGAGAACAACTTGTTGTCACCGCTTTAAGATAATCTCGCTGCGATCTAAAATATTTTCGAACCGCATGAAATCATCGACTTATCGATTTGATTTTATCTGTATTATGCATTCCGTCATGTGCCCTGAAATGCATAACGATGTTGTTTACACGGCAAGCGCGTTTTCCAGATTACAATTTACTATATCGTATTAATCCCTAGATATTGCGGAGATATAAGTGCGATAATATGTTTCGCTGTCATATAAATACAAATAATATCTCGGTGTCTTCTTTTAATTCAAATTCTTGCATAAATCGATTGCGTGAAGAGTTTAGAGAAAAATCTGACATTTTCTTTGTTCTTGGTTAATAAATGCCACGAAAATTTCGCAATTAATGCAATTAGCACGCGATTCAGTAGCGCTTTTCGATTTTTTTGAATAAAATAAGCTTTGTTAAAGAGGTCCATAAGAACTGATTTCATATTCGGATATCATGACTTTTCATACTACGGTTGAATATTAATAGCGTGAAAAATTAATTATTATCGACCGATTATTATTTTCTATATTTGTCTGAAATAATTTGATTATAAATTCAATATAGATATTGCACTATTAGGCTATTATTATTCATGAATTTTAATCGTAATATATGTAATATATATTTATGTATACATACTAAATGTTTGAAATATACGGTCACTATCAACTTTTTTAAATCAGGATGGACTTGATAAAGAAAACTAATGAAAACGTATTGTAATTTTTTTATCTTATAATATGTTTATTTTATTATCAGTTTATTCTTATAATGTAATTGAAATTATAATTATAATGACGTTTCTCATTATTGCAAATTGCAATTTATTGCAATATTATTTCGATTTACTAATCACATATTTTTAATAAAATTTTTAATAAAAAAACACGTTTCCTTATTGGAGATGTATTATTTCCTTCACAAAATTTGATTGCATTTTCCTAAAATTTGTATAATATAGAAAAGAAATGTATATATAGTATAAATTTTTAGTTTTGTAGTTTAATATTATATTGAATTAAAATATTCATATTAACATTATCCGAAATTTAACATAACAAATTGTTCACAGCAAAATTTCTGAAATTAATGATTATTCAAATATATATTTCAAGATTATGTATATTTTCATGTCTTATTAGAAATCTCAAGTATTCATCAAATAAAGTGTGGTGTATAATTGTATAAATATAATTTTACCGCACAAAATTACATAAAAAAATGTCGATAAATTTTTCAAATTATTTATTGTAAAGTTAATGTTGCATAATTGTCTGTTTGATATAAACAATATATTCTTTCGAAAGAATTATTTTTATTATTAATCATAAATTTCTGTAAATAAATGTTCTTCATTGAAGATACACGTTCAAGCAAAATATAGTATATTTAAATTAAATTGATCGAAATGGAAATTTATGAGGATTTTTCGAATGTTTCGCGCCTTTTCTACCTGTTCAAGCATTCAACAGAGGGACACGCGTGATCATATATGTATACATAACGCTATCGAATACCAGTACAGTGCTAAGGAAGAGTTAATAAACGACAACATTTTATTTTTCTGCGTATCAGGTCATAAAGTGTCGAAAGAAAGTCGTCATTGAAATTTTCACGAATCGAGACATCACCAATAAATAAATTCTGAAATATGTTTCGCCTTTTTGTGATAATGACGATGCTCTTTATGACGATTGACGCGCGATTAAACAGGTCAGTATATTATATTGTATTGCATATTGGCATAAATATCGAACTTCGAAAGATCGATTTTTTCTCGTCTTCGACTTCTTGGATTAAACGCGTGGCTTGTACAAATGCAAATAATGCTTCAATACAAATTGGATGAAATGATTTCGTTGATCAAAACGTATATTTTGATTTATTAATTAAAGAGTAAATAAAATAAGAATATTTTGGAAAAAGTGACTTGTTGTTTTTTCGTAACGTTCGCTTTTGTCCATCTTGTCTTTATCCCTATTTAAACGACGACCGTTAACATAAATATCATGCTTGGAGGTCATCAAAACATGTAATTGTAAACTATTTTTTCATGCGTTAACTGTACGTATAATGAGTTGCTTTATATTATTTGTTTAATTGATATTCTCTGTTTCTTATTTTTAATACTCTTTTTTTATTACTTGTTTCTAAATTACTTTTGTATGTAAAATCACATGCAAAATTAATTAAAATTCAATGTCTATTAAAATAATTTTGTTTAAAACTAAACTGTACAAATCAATAATTACTTTTGATACACACACACACACACACACACACACACATATATATATATATATATGAGTTCATACAATTTAAAAAGATCATCGAATAATAAACATTTCTGAAATATTTATATTTAAATGCGTAATGCACTTATATTGCAAGTATGTAAGTTATACAATTAATTTTTGAGAATGTGTAGACTTTCATGACTACATTTGTTCTGAAAATATCAATTAGTCATATCAAACGTAAATATTCATTTTACATATATATTTAGAATACATACATATATCATAGAATGTTGTTTATGCTATTTCAAGGACTTCATTGCACGAGATGGATGGAGAATCTTCGGAAAAAGTTGGCACCGTCTTGCAAAAAGTTCCTTCGTTACGTAGTAATCTTCCTTCAGTACGTTTGACCAATTTCAAAAACATAGCTTACTATGGCAGTATTAAAATTGGAATTCCACCGCAAAAATTTCAAGTTATATTTAATTGTGGTTCCCCACATCTTTGGATATTTTCCAAAAAATGCACACACCCTTTTTGTTGTAAGTAATTTGTTTGTGTGTGTGTGTGTATATATATATATATATATATATATATATATATATATATACATATTCCGTCATTAATTATATTTTTCAAATATAATCTTGAAATATTGTGAAAAGTTGAATACATAATACAGATATATATTTATTTAATTTTATAGTAATTTTTAATACTATAATTTAAATATTACAATGGCAAATTTTGTAATTTGGAAATGTACTAATTATTAAATAATTTATCAGCTTCATTCTCCAAAGATTCAAGCATTGATAAACAAAGATAATTTATGAATTAATGCGACAAATACATTTACATGTATAAAATATGGCATTATTTGTAAAAGAATATTGCATAATTGATATAGATTAATAAGACAATATGTCCATATATATTTTTAATATCTTTCTAATATTGCTAATTTTCGATATTATTGAATATGTTTCAGTACGACCTTGTAGAGATAAAAGTAACAAATACTATATATCACCTTATTCTAATGACTCACGTAGTACTATTAATATAGAATATTTGAATTATAAGTTACATGGTCTTCTATCTACTGATTTAGTGAAAGTAAGTCATTATTAAGCAATCAATCCATATCAGTTAGAAATAAAATCATACGAGTAGTTTAAACATTTCTTAAGCAATCATGTTTTTTTTTTCGCGCGGCAAGGACGATGTATGTACTATTTCTGTATCGATTTTATCACAGGTTGCCAAACTCACTGTTGCGAATCAAACATTTGTAGAAGTGACAGACGCATCAGACATAAATATAATATTTGATAAATATATAACTATACATGATAGACACAGATTTGGTGGTATGGTAGGGCTGCTATATTTTAATTTATATTATTTTGCACTTACGATAACGCCAGTCTTCGGCAACATGATTGAACAAGGTCTAGTGTCATCACGCATTTTTAGTTTTTATCTAAATAGGTATACATATCTTCTCTGTTTATGAATAACATATATCTATAGAAAAGAGTATTTAATTAACATGCAGTTCTATTTGTATATATTTTTATATTTATTATATACTTATTTTAATATTAATATAAATTAAATTTATTATTTATACATAGTATCATAATTTCTATATAGTATTATTTTTCATATTAAATTAATATTTATATTTACACATTAAATATAATGTATAATTTATCATAATTATCACATACATACATATTGCGATATAAAAAATACAATTTGCAGAGACCCTAACTCAGCTAATTTAGGTGGTAAATTGACATTCGGTGGTTCCGATCCTGCTTATTACGAAGGAAATTTTACATATGTTCCTGCTAATATCGAAAGATCCTGGGAAATTACCATAGATAGGTACGTTATATATTTTAAATTATATTAATCATATTTCAACAAATTGTTTACGTTACGCTTTATAGTATCGAAATAGATGGGATTCCTTTTTGCAAGAGATACTGTCTAGCTACCATTGATACAAGTATTTGGAGAATAATTGGACCAGAAAAGGATATTTCATTTATTAATCGATATATTTATACTAATCCACAGGGAAGAGTAAGTAATATCTTTCAAGTAGTCATATCTTTCAAGCACGTAGCCTTTGATAACAAAAATAATAAAAAGTTGATAATAACAATACAAAAATAAATATTTGGTACGTTGCAATAAAACATAAACTTCTATGGAACAATGACATTAGTCCTTGTTTCCGAAAAACTTAATATATTCATTAAATATGATTAATTATTAAATTGATATTATGTTTTATTTAAAGGTGGACTGCAATAGAATTTCTCAATTGCCTACAATCCAGTTTAATTTGGGTGGCGAGGCCTTGAATCTTACCGGTAAAGATTACATCATTCGGGTGAGTGTTATATGAAAATTACTTAAATTATCTAAATAAATATAAGAAAAGGTTATATTGTGTATTTAATTCTGCTCAGGGTCCACATAATAAAAATCGATGTTCAAGCGTCTTCTGGAAACATATGGACCCAAAATATAACGATGAAAGTAAATTTATTAAGTCGTGGATTCTGGGCACGTCATTTATAGGCCGCTACTACACCGAGTTTGACATGGACAAAGAACGAGTGGGATTTGCTTTGGCAAAAAATTTATAGAATTCATCAAAACCTATAGAAAGTTTTTCATTGCCTTCTTTTATTGAAAACTTTATCAATTTTTAATAATTTGCTCAATATTCTGCAGCAAAAAAAATTTAATTATTTTTAATCACCAACTGATAAAGTTTGCGTATTATCAATGTGAATTTTTGCGTAATATGTAGATAGCTGTATAGTAGTTTTTAACAGCAATACTTTATCTTGAAAGTAATTAACATGAGTTTATTGCTAATTAGATTGTGCGAAATTTTGGGAACAGTGTCATTTGCTAAAATCCTTGTTTCATGGCCGTCTAGTCGATATAATCAGTTTATATTTTTGAAATGATTATTACTTCTTCATTATCATTCTTAATCACGCGCACGTTTAATAATTTATTTTATTACAATTCGGTTCAATTATAAAACAAAATATTTAAATAATATATTTTTAAATTTGACTGATCGATAGAACGGATCGATAACATGGATGTATTTCGAATGCGCGCGATTGTATATACATCAGTCATTAAATGTCGATAAATGATGGCTCTAGTAGTCGAGTACAATTTCTTCTTTGTATGTCGCAACGTACAGAAAGAAATTTACCAGAAATTTCGAAAATATGTTCTGTTTTTTCGTAGCAGCAGTGTTGCTGATCGACGCGGAAATCCAAAGTTAAGTTTATGCATTGTATCATGTGTTTAAGTTACGTATCGATATAATAAATGCTGATTTTATAAAATCAATCTCTCTCGTCGTGATCACATTTGATTATCTGAAATCCAAAACCTATGTAAATGTGATGACATTCATAAAACGCTGATAAATCCTAAATAGAAAGTTATTCAGTGCGATGATCAATAAAAGTTTTTAATTTTTTATGAGAATGTTATAAAAATAATTTTCTTCTTGCTCGATTTAATAAGAATTAAAAATGAGAGATTACCATTGAGTGATGATCTAATAAAATTAATTTTGAAGCTCTCTCGTAAATAAAGCATTTTTATGGATCCAGAATTGCAAAAGTTTCCCCATTTTATTCCTTACATCTTCGTACGTGAATAAGAATTAATATGCTTCCATTCAGTAAGAGAACAACTTGTTGTCATCGCTTTAAGATAATTTCGCTGCGATCTAAAATATTTTCGAGCCGCATGAAATCATCGACTTATCGACTTGATTTTATCTGTATTATGCATTCCATCATGTGCCCTTAAATGCATAACGATGTTGTTTACACGGCAAGCGCGTTTTCCTGATTACAATTTACTATATCGTATTAATCCCTAGATATTGCGGAGATATAAGTGCGATAATATGTTTCGCTGTCATATAAATACAAATAATATCTCGGTGTCTTCTTTTAATTCAAATTCTTGCATAAATCGATTGCGTGAAGAGTTTAGAGAAAAATCTGACATTTTCTTTGTTCTTGGTTAATAAATGCCACGAAAATTTCGCAATTAATGCAATTAGCACGCGATTCAGTAGCGCCTTTCGATTTTTTTGAATTAAATAAGCTTTGTTAAAGAGTTCTTAAGAACTGATTTCATATTCGGATATCATAAATTTCATACTATGGTTGAATATTAAGAGCGTGAAAAATTAATTATTATCGATCGATTATTATTTTCTATTTTTGTCTGAAATAATTTGATTATAAATTGAATATAAATATTGCACTATTACGCTATTATTCATGAATTTTAATTGTAATATATGAAATATATGTTTACATACATATACTAAATGTTTGAATAATACCAATATTCGGTCACTATCAACTTTTTAAATCAGGATGACCTTGAAAAAGAGAACTAATGAAAACGTATTATAATTTTTTTATCTTATAATATGTTTATTTTATTATAAGTTTATTTTTATAATGTATTTGAAATTATGATCATAATGACGTTTCTCATTATTGCAAATTGTTTTATTTCGATATACTAATCACATATTTTTAATAAAATTTTTAATAAAAGTACACGTTTCCTTATTGGAGATGTATTATTTCCTTCACAAAATTTGATTGCATTTTCCTGAAATTTGCATAATATAGAAAAGAAATATATATAGTATAGATTTTTAGTTTTCTATAGTATATATAGTATAGATTTTTAATTTTGTATAGTATCTTGAGTTAAAATATTCATATTAATATTATTCGAAATTTAACATAACAATTTGTTCATAACACAAAATTTCTGAAATTAATGATTATTCAAATATATAATTCAAGATTATGTATATTTTCTTGTCTCTTTAGAAACCTCAAGTATTCATCAAATAAAGTGTGATGTATAATTGTATAAATATAATTTTATCGCACAAAATTACATAAAAAAATGTCGATAATTTTTTCAAATTATCTATTGTAAAGTTAATGTTGCATAATTGTCTGTATGATATAAACAATATATTCTTTCGAAAGAATTATTTTTATTATTAATCATAAATTTCTGTAAATAAATGTTCTTCATGGAAGATACACGTTCAAGCAAAATATAGTATATTTAAATTAAATTGATCGAAATGGAAATTTATGAGGATTTTTCGAATGTTTCGCGCCTTTTCTACCTGTTCAAGCATTCAACAGAGGGACACGCGTGATCATATATGTATACATAACGCTATCGAATACTAGTACAGTGCTAAGGAAGAGTTAGTAAACGACACACTTTACTTTTCTGCGTATCAGATCATAAAGTGTCGAAAGAAAGTCGTCATTGAAATTTTCACGAATCGAGACATCACCAATAAATAAATTCTGAAATATGTTTCTTTTTGTGATAATGACGATGCTCTTTATTACGATTGACGCGCAATTAAACAGGTCAGTACATATTATATTGTATTGCATATTGGCATAAATATCGAACTTCGAAAGATCGACTTTTCTCGTTTCCGACTTCTTGGATTAAACGCGTGGCTTGTACAAATGCAAATAATGCTTCAATACAAATTGGATGAAGTTTCTTTGATCAAAACGTATATTTTGATTTATTAATTAAAGAGTAAATAAAATAAGAATATTTTGGAAAAAGTGACTAGTTGTTTTTTCGTAACGTTCGCTTTTGTCCATCTTGTCTTTATCCCTATTTAAACGACGACCGTTAACATAAATATCGTGCTTGGAGGTCATCAAAACATGTAATTGTAAACTATTTTTTCATGCGTTAACTGTACGTATAATGAGTTGCTTTATATTATTTGTTTAATTGATATTCTCTGTTTCTTATTTTTAATACTCTTTTTTTATTACTTGTTTCTAAATTACTTTTGTATATAAAATCACATGCAAAATTAATTAAAATTCAGTGTCTATTAATATGATTTTGTTTAAAACTGGACTGTACAAATCAATATTTACTTTTGATACACACACACTCACACACACACACACACACACACACACACACACACACACACACACACACACACACACACACACATATATATATATATATATATATGAGTTCATACAATTTAGAAAGATCATCGAATAATAAACATTTCTGAAATATTTATATTTAAATGCGTAATGCACTTATATTGCAAGTATGTAAGTTATACAATTAAGTTTTGAGAATGTGTAGACTTTCATGACTACATTTGTTCTGAAAATATCAATTAGTCATATCAAACGAAAATATTCATTTTACATATATATTTAGAATACATACATATATCATAAATTGTTGTTTATGTTATTTCAAGGACTTCATTGCACGAGATGGATGGAGAATCTTCGGAAAAAGTTGGCACCATCTTGCAAAAAGTCCCTTCGTTACGTAGTAATCTTCCTTCAGTACGTTTGACCAATTTCGAAAACATAGCTTACTATGGCACTATTAAAATTGGAATTCCACCGCAAAAATTTCAAGTTATATTTAATTGTGGTTCCCCACATCTTTGGATATTTTCCAAAAAATGCACACACCCTTTTTGTTGTAAGTAATTTGTTTGTGTGTGTGTGTATATATATATATATACATATTCCGTCATTAATTATATTTTTCAAATATAATCTTGAAATATTGTAAAAAGTTGAATACATAATACAGATATATATTTATTTAATTTTATAGTAATTTTTAATACTATAATTTAAATATTACAATGGCAAACTTTGTAATTTGGAAATGTACTAATTATTAAATAATTTATCAGCTTCATTCTCCAAAGATTCAAGCATTGATAAACAAAGATAATTTATGAATTAATGCGACAAATACATTTACATGTATAAAATATGGCATTATTTGTAAAAGAATATTGCATAATTGATATAGATTAATAAGACAATATGTCCATATATATTTTTAATATCTTTCTAATATTGCTAATTTTCGATATTATTGAATATGTTTCAGTACGACATTGTAGAGATAATAGTAACAAATTCTATATATCACCTTATTCTAATGACTCACGTAGAACTATTAACATAGAATATTTGAATTACAAGTTATATGGTCTTCTATCTACTGATTTAGTGAAAGTAAGTCATTATTAAGCAATCAATTCAAATCAGTTAGAAATAAAATCATACGAGTAGTTTAAACATTTCTTAAGCAATCATGTTCTTTTTTTCGCGCGGCAACGACGATGTATGTACTATTTCTATATCGATTTTATCACAGGTTGCCAAACTCACTGTGGCGAATCAAACATTTGTAGAAGTGACAGACGCATCAGACATAAATATAATATTTGATAAATATGTAACTATACATGATACACACATATTTGGTGGTATGGTAGGGCTGCTATATTTTAATTTATATTATTTTGCACTTACGATAACGCCAGTCTTCGGCAACATGATTCAACAAGGTCTAGTGTCATCACGCATTTTTAGTTTTTATCTAAATAGGTACATATCTTCTCTATTTATGAATAACATATATCTATAGAAAAGAGTATTTAATTAACATGCAGTTCTATTTGTATATATTTTTATATTTATTATATACTTATTTTAATATTAATATAAATTAAATTTATTATTTATACATAGTATCATAATTTCTATATAGTATTATTTTTCATATTAAATTAATATTTATATTTACACATTAAATATAATGTATAATTTATCATAATTATCACATACATACATATTGCGATATAAAAAATACAATTTGCAGAGACCCTAACTCAGCTAATTTAGGTGGTAAATTGACATTCGGTGGTTCCGATCCTGCTTATTACGAAGGAAATTTTACATATGTTCCTGCTAGTATCGAAAGATCCTGGGAATTTACCATAGATAGGTACGTTATATATTTTAAATTATATTAATCATATTTCAACAAATTGTTTACGTTACGCTTTATAGTATCGAAATAGATGGGATTCCTTTTTGCAAGAGATACTGTCTAGCTACCATTGATACAAGTATTTGGAGAATAATTGGACCAGAAAAGGATATTTCATTTATTAATCGATATATTTCTACTAATCCACGGGGAAGAGTAAGTAATATCTTTCAAGTAGTCATATCTTTCAAGCACGTAGCCTTTGATGACAAAAATAATAAAAAGTTGATAATAACAATACAAAAATAAATATTAGGTACGTTGCAATAAAACATAAACTTCTATGGAACAATGGCATTAGTCCTTGTTTCCGAAAAACTTAATATATTCATTAAATATGATTAGTTATTAAATTGATATTATGTTTTATTTAAAGGTGGACTGCAATAGAATTTCTCAATTGCCTACAATCCAGTTTAATTTGGGTGGCAACGCCTTCAATCTTACCGGTAAAGATTACACCATTCGGGTGAGTGTTATATGAAATTACTTAAATTATCTAAATAAATATAAAAAAAGGTTATATTGTGTATTTAATTCTGCTCAGGGTCCATATAATAAAAATCGATGTTCAAGCGTCTTCTGGAAACACATGGACCCAAAATATAACAATGAAAGTAAATTTATTAACTCATGGATTCTGGGCACGTCATTTATAGGCCGCTACTACACCGAGTTTGACATGGACAAAGAACGAGTGGGATTTGCTTTGGCAAAAAATTTATAGAATTCATCAAAACCTATAGAAAGTTTTTCATTGCCTTCTTTTATTGAACACTTTATCAATTTTTAATAATTTGCTCAATTTTCTCCAACAAAAAAAATTTAATTATTTTTAATCACCAACTGATAAAGTTTGCGTATTATCAATGTGAATTTTTGCGTAATATGTACATAGTTGTGCGTCAATTTTTAACAGCAATACTTTATCTTGAAAGTAATTAACATGAGCTTATTGCTAATTAGATTGTGCGAAATTTTGGGAACAGTGTCATTTGCTAAGATTCTTGTTGCATGGCCATCTAGTCGATATAATCAGTTTATATTTTCGAAATGATTATTACTTCTTCATTATCATTCTTAATCACGCGCACGTTTAATAATTTATTTTATTACAATTTGGATTAATTATGAAACAAAATATTTAAATAATATATTTTTAAATTTGACTGATGGATAGAACGGATCGATAACATGGATGTATTTCGAATGCGCGCGTTTGTATATACATCAGTCATTAAATGTCGATAAATGATAGCTGTAGTAGTCGAGTACAATTTCTTCTTTGTATGTCGCAACGTACAGAAAGAAATTTACCAGAAATTTCGAAAATATGTTCCGTTTTTTCGTAGCAGCAGTGTTGCTGATCGACGCGGAAATCCAAAGTTAAGTTTATGCATTGTATCGTGTGTTTACGTTACGTATCGGTATAATAAATGCTGATTTTATAAAATCATTCTCTCTCGTCATGATCACATTCTATTATCTGAAATCCAAAACCTATGTAAATGTGATTACATTCATAAAACGCTGATAAATCCTAAATGTTATAAAAATCATTTTCTCCTTGCTCGATTTAATAAGAATTAAAAATGAGAGATTACCATTGAGTCTAGTAAAATTAATCTTGAAGCTCTCTCGTAAATTAAGCATTTTTATGGACCCAGAATTGCAAAAGTTTTCCCATTTTACTCCTTATATCTTCGTACGTGAATAAGAATTAATATACTTCCATTCAGTAAGAGAACAACTTGTTGTCACCGCTTTAAGATAATCTCGCTGCGATCTAAAATATTTTCGAACCGCATGAAATCATCGACTTATAGACTTGATTTTATCTGTAATTATGCATTCCGTCATGTGCCCTTAAATGCATAACGATGTTGTTTACACGGCAAGCGCGTTTTCCTGATTACAATTTACTATATCGTATTAATCCCTAGATATTGCGGAGATATAAGTGCGATAATATGTTTCGCTGTCATATAATTAAAAATAATATCTGGGGTGTCATCTTCTTTTGATTCAAATTCTTGCATAAATCGAATGCATGAAGAGATTAGAGAAAAACCTGACATTTTCTTTGTTTCTTGGTTAATAAATGCCACGAAAATTTCGCAATTAATGCAATTAGCACGCGATTAGTAGCGCCTTTCGATTTTTTTTGAATTAAATAAGTTTGTTAAAGAGTTCTTAAGAACTGATTTCATATTCGGATATCATGATTTTTCATATTATGGTTGAATATTAATAGCGTGAAAAATTAATTATTATCGATCGATTATTATTTTCTATTTTTGTCTGAAATAATTTGATTATAAATTGAATATAAATATTGCACTATTACGCTATTATTCATGAATTTTAATTGTAATATATGAAATATATGTTTTACATACATATACTAAATGTTTGAATAATACCAATATTTCGGTCACTATCAACTTTTTAAATCAGGATGAACTTGAAAAGAGAAACTAATGAAAACGTATTATAATTTTTTTATCTTATAATATGTTTATTTTATTATAAGTTTATTTTTATAATGTATTTGAAATTATGATCATAATGACGTTTCTCATTATTGCAAATTGTTTTATTTCGATATACTAATCACATATTTTTAATAAAATTTTTAATAAAAGTACACGTTTCCTTATTGGAGATGTATTATTTCCTTCACAAAATTTGATTGCATTTTCCTGAAATTTGCATAATATAGAAAAGAAATATATATATAGATTTTTAGTTTTGTATAGTATATATATATAGATTTTTAGTTTTGTATAGTTATATAGTATAGATTTTTAGTTTTGTATAGTATCTTGAGTTAAAATATTCATATTAATATTATCTGAAATGTAACATAACAATTTGTTCAGAACACAAAATTTCTGAAATTAATGATTATTCAAATATATATTTCAAGATTATGTATATTTTCTTGTCTCTTTAGAAACCTCAAGTATTCATCAAATAAAGTGTGGTGTATAATTGTATAAATATAATTTTATCGCATAAAATTACATAAAAAATGTCGATAATTTTTTCAAATTATCTATTGTAAAGTTAATGTTGCATAATTGTCTGTTTGATATAAACAATATATTCTTTCGAAAGAATTATTTTTATTATTAATCATGAATTTCTGTAAATAAATGTTCTTCATTGAAGATACACGTTCAAGCAAAATATAGTATATTTAAATTAAATTGATCGAAATGGAAATTTATCAGGATTTTTCGAATGTTTCGCGCTTTCTCTACCTGTTCAAGCATTCAACAGAGGGACACGCGTGATCATATACATACATAACGCTATCGAATACTAATACAGTACTAAGGGAGAGTTAGTAAGCGACAACACTATTTTTCTGCGTGTCAGGTCATAAAGTGTCGAAAGAAAGTCGTCATTGAAATTTTCACGAATCGAGACGTCACAATAAATAAATTCTGAAATATTTTGCCTTTATGTAATAATGACGATGCTCTTTATGACGATTGACGCGCGATTAAACAGGTCAGTACATATATACTATATTGCATATTGGCATAAATATCGAACTTAGAAAGATCGATTGTTTCTCGTTTCCGACTTCTTGGATTAAACGCGTGGCTTGTACAAATGCAATTAATGCTTCAATACAAATTGGATGAAGTTTCTGAAGAAATTGAGTTTCTTGACGAAGTCTCTCACGGACACATCAATTTTTCCCAATTCAAATCTAGTTAAATAACGTTTTTTGTTAATGTGAATTGTGCAATTTACAAGATTTATCGTCTACGATTATCGTCTCGTATGCCTGTCTCCTGATTTTATTACATCGTATATACTTGATAAGGACCACAACCATATGGTTAAAACGTTGTATTAATAAACAAATTTTCGAGCTAGTTTGGTCGACAACCACATTTTTCAATGATCCTTTGATTATTTGACTAGCGACATTAAGATATTTATAATTTATAAGTATCGTGCTGGAGGTTATCAAGCATGTAATTGTAAACTTTTTTTTCATGCGTTAACTGTAGGTATAATGAATTTATATTATTTGTTTAATTGATATTCTCTATTTCTTATTTTTGAATACCCTTTTTTTATTTCTTGTTTCTAAATTACTTCTGTATGTAAAATCATATGCAAAATTAATTAAAATTCAATGTCTATTAAAATGATTTTATTTAAAACTGGACTGTACAAATTCAATAATTACTTTTGATCATATATATATATATATAATATATATATATATATATATTATACATATTTAGAAAGATCATCGAGTAATAACATTTCTGAAATATTTATATTTTAATGTAATGCACTTTATTGCAAGTATATAAGTTATACACATTAATTTCTGAGAATGTGTAGACTTTCATTACTACATTGTTCTGAAAATATCTATTACTCATATAAAATGTAATATTCATTTTACATATATATTTACAATACATACATATATCATAGAATGTTGTTTATGTTATTTCGAGGACTTC